GGGATTTTTAGAGATTAGAGACTCTAGGCCTATACACTCAATGAACAACATCTCAACACTAAATTATAAAGGCCTGTCTCATATAGGCGCCTGTCTCAAATAAAAGCCGGTGCAGTTCGACGATATGGGAAAATAAAAGCCCGGGCTACTATTTGAAGTTTTACGGTAGGTAAAAGGTATTTCTGTAATCAAGGTTATACTTTTTTCTACTTTTTAATACTAAAGGACTGGAATTCCTGTCTCACACCCATCCTCCTTTTCTTAAGCCTTCTAATCTTTGTGCTACTTTATACAAACAATGTAAATCTAGTGAAGTCTCTTGTGAAAAAAGTACACTTGATTGTAGTGTACTTCAAATCTTAAAAATAAATTTAACCTTTTAAATGCATGCATGAATGTTTCGCCGATCAATATTAAGTATTCGGGTCTTTAGCGACCCGGATCTATATCTAACACGGATGGATCTCTACCTGTCGTGATAATATAAAACTCTCCTGATATTAGAGTATCAATTACAGAAGGATAAAATAAAGCACATTTTGTTAGCTTTCAGAGCTTGGAAGGGTTCAGTTTGAGCAGATGTTTAAAACCATCATCACTGTCCTCGTCAGAGCTCATTTCAAATTACATTCAACATCCGGCTCATATTCGCAATCTCAAACATATCATTTTCAACATCTTCAAAATCAATATTTTGATCGCTGACAGGTTCTTCATCAGATCCAGCATCAAGTGACAGTGACACATATATTTGACTGCGTTCAGTACTTAAATCCCTGAGCCATTTCAAGCTATGCTGATGATTCTTCCTATTCTTTTGTTTTCTGCCTGCGGTAACTATGAGGGAAACGTCACTTAATCATTGTGTATCAGACATTGACACCTTATGGATTAAAGGTAAATTGCACTTAATCAGTCATCAAAGATTCAATTATTGTTGTGCAGAAAAAAATATATTTACACCTACACTCTTCGGGTCACCTACACCTTACACCTACATGTAGCAGATCTATTCCGCAAGACCCTATGCAATAAGTTGAGCTGCAAAAATAACCCTCTCCACACTTTTTCAGTGCTAATTTTTCACTACGTGTCTTTAGTAATTCCTGGCGTTAGTTCTTTAACGCCAAAAGAGGGTTTGCTCTGGCGCAAGATGTTAGTAAATTTGGCCTAATATTTGCTACAGCATGTAGACAGTACACAAAGCTCACTATCTTTTGGAGCGTAACTCAGAAAACCATCAACTCTAAAGAAGGTGAGGTAGAGCAGAGGTCAAAAGGTGGGGTTTAGGAAGTAAAAAGGACATGCTCGGCTCAGATTGCATTTCATCTGTCCCAAAGGCGCACAACAAGACTTCCTCTTCCCCCTTCCACGCTTGCAGATGACCTTGCAGTTGATAGGACAGCAGCCAGAATCTGACAGCCGCAGGTCATGGGAGAAGTTCATGTAATGCTGAGGGACTTTGGTGGGTTATAGTGTTACAAAAGTGAACAAGTAGATATTGATGGCTCAGTCTGAACTCTGATTGAAGTAGACACGCACCGCATAACTCAAACACAGGATGTGGATGGATAGCGTTTGGGTCGGGTCAGATCCGCCTCTCTGGACCATAAACATAAAGACTTGTCTGTATTCTCTCATCACATGCATTTTATCACATATGATTGTTTCAATTAATCATTCGATTCTTTGTGGGCAGCTTAAGGTGTAACATAGACTAAAAGAAAAAGCGAGAACTCCCAAAGAGCCCGCCGTCGTCCCCGGGGCATACAGAACTTTGCAGATGATCCTCAGAATTGTAATTTAGACCCGTGAAATTACTCTGCAAAGTGCGGTGCCTAGGGGTGTAAATGAGTCCCAGAAAGGGTAAAAACACACAAATTCATCATTCCCAGCAGCACATCAAAGAGAGCTAAGCTTGAAATTTATCTCACACTAATACCACTGTAATGTGTTTTCAGTCAAACTGTCTCTGGGAGTTTCTTAGTGTTCATAAAGCAGTTATTGAATAGAAACAAAGGAGTCTATTATATTCCTTAACAATAAATACAGTCAAAATAAAAATGATATGATTTTAATGAGGTGTCCAATGTTAATACGGTTCCAGTATATCAGCCAAGCAGCGCTTGAGGCGTTACAGTCGTATGTCATTATATCCCAATTCTTTTTCTCACAATATTGCATCAACGCTTTAGATATTGATATATATATATTTTTTTAATTATGTATTATGTGTAGGTGTGTCTGCATTTGTTTTTTATTCCCTGATACTAGTATGTTTTTGTGTTTGTTTATCGTGTTGCTTTTTGGTTTTTCTTTGTGTTTGTTTATTCCTTTCTTTTCGTTTTGTTTTTGTTTTTGGACTCCCTGGTAAAAGAGAGATTGTATCTCAATAAAACCTTCTATAAAACAATCATATATCAATATATTGTGATACAATATTACAATCAATCACCCGTTCGTTCGTTCATTTATTAATTCATTCATTTGTTTGTTTGTTAGAATTATAATTATTATTTTCTAAGTATTAATACAATCCTTACATAAAAATATATTGTTATACAATAAGATCCTTGTATTGATATTTTAAATGTATTATTACATTTATTTATTTATTACTGAATTATATTGTTATTATTATTATTTGTATGCATTAATAAAATCCTTGTATTCTAATCAATTGTTATATAATATGATGCTTGTATTGATATTCTAAATGCATTATTTGTTTATTTATTATATTATTATTATGTTTTATCATTATTGATGAATTACATTTATGTGTGAATTCATTGAATTTCCTGAAGTTAAATTAACACAGAATCAGGAAGATTGAATATACCTCTTCTGTGAGACACTAGGGAAAAAAGTGAAGTGCAGTTTCAGTCACAATATAATGGTGATGCATCTTGATGTCTTGGCTCATGATGACATATTACGATGTGTATCGGGAGGTAATTGGCAGCACCTATCCTTAGCTAGTTAGCAAGTTAGTTAGTTAGTTAGTTAGTTAACTAGTTAGTTAGTTAGTTGAACAGAGGGGTTAGAACTCAAGGGTTTCAGACAGAATGGTTTCAGGTTTGCTATTGTGTTGAAGCTTCGACATCTTCCTCTACGTCATCAACCTGTTTGTTTGAAATGTAGCAACAGCACGCTATTCCCAGGGAAGTGAGGACTAATTTAGTGAAGTGGAATGAGGAATTGCCCGTTTGCTTTGACAGCCACGCCATAAATATTGACTCCTAGCAAAATGTTACATTTCCTGCAGGCCTCCTGCCGTCTTGCATGTTCCCCAACACTTTCTGACAGCTCTGGGCATTCCCAATCCATCCTGTTAGTGTCAGTCAGGTGTCCCGACTCCCAGCTGCTCCGCAGACCTGCTCCCGCTCCCGCTCCTGCTGGCGGTAACATGTGCGAGCTGCCGCGACGGCCAGGTGCTTTTCATTTCAGTGTTAACGCTCTCCAGAGACTCTCACTGGGGTTGCGCTAGGGCTCACCTGAGCTAATTGGTCCTTCAGGGGGAAAGTGTGAGCAGACATGCTATATTGGCTTTAGCCTTCAACTTATTTTGATTGATGCCTGACATGTAAAGGTCTAGACAGAGCATGTTCATGCTAGATGTTGCTATAAAATATGGTTGATCTTTTATGTGGCTCTTATGAAGTACTGTCGCATCTTTGAGCTTTGAAGAGAGCATTTCTTTCTGACACATGCAGTGTTAAATGTGTCTGACATAGGAAATGATGAAAAGTGCCATGAAATTTTTGCCCCAAAAAAAATCTAAATTGGTGCGATGAAAACCTAGAATAAAATGGTAGTTGACGTCCTGCGATGTAACATGCTATACTGTTTTAGTTTTATTGTTTTACGTAACTTTTTCTATTTGTTTTTTCTATTTTCATTTTTTAAGCATTCGTCTTTAGTATTTACTATTACTTTATTTTATTTTTTATTCTAAACTGTTTTAATTATTCTTATTTGTTTTGATTATTTTAATTTCTTCTATGTAAAGCACTTTGAATTGCCATTGTGTATATGAAATGTGCTATATAAATAAACTTGCCTTGCCTAGTAGATCTTATTAATTGAGACACTACATTTATATATTTGTACTTTAAAAACATAAAACATTAATTTAAACTGCTAAAACAATCTGTGTTTTTATTGCTTTTCTTATTTTCCGGTAAAAAAAAATAAAAAAAACTGCAAAAAAAAATAAAAAATATGAATTTAACGAATTGTAATGAGGTTTATGCTTCAAACTAGAAATAATAAAAAAATATTGTAAGCTGTTAGCTGTTTTTTAACGAAATATATATATATATATATACAGTATATATATATATATATATATATATATATACACATATTGTGATTTTTTTATTAATTATAACTAACATTTATTTTTCTTCCAGGATTAACAATTATATGTTAATATATAATAATATAAATATAATTTCAAAATTATAATTGTTAATCCTGCAAGAAAAATAAAGGTTAGTTATGATTCATTAAAAAAATCCATCACATTATGTATATATATATATATATATATATATATATATATACACAGTACCTGTACATAGATTAAGAGATTTTCCAAGTATAAAATACTAGTGAATTGAAATAGTCCATCCCTTATATTCATTTTAATGTTGGTAAAAAATATAGGGTAATCAATTAATATGAATAAACTTTAAATAGAAATAAAGTTAATCAACATGTCATACGTGAACTACCCAAATACACAATGCATGCTAAGGTCATTATCACCCAAGCTGATGATTTCATTTATTTATTTATTCGTGGTTTTATGGTATCTAGGTCTTGTATAACACATCTGGAATTGCGTCATTCTCCAACTTAACCTTCACTGAAGCACTTCACATAAATAACCACTCATCAGCGGGGTTTTTTGTGTAGCCTACACCGTTTTGTCACACCATAGAGGTGAACGCAACTTCAATAAGCTGCAGTCCAAATGCCACACTTGTACTTACAGTTCACTGAGGAAGCGCAGGTTGTGGAAAGCGTTGGGCTGAATCTCACTGATGTTGTTCATACTGAGATCCCTAAAATAAAAAAGAGAGAGAAACGGAGGGTCAATGGCAATGATATCAGTTATGCAGTTTTCAGCATCATTACTCCAGTCCTCAGAGTCACATGATCCTTCAGAAATCATTCTAATATGATGATCTGATGATGAAGAAACATTTAGTATTATTATCCTCAATGTTGAAAACTGTTTTTGTGGAAACCGTGATACTTTTTTTTTTCAGCATTCTTTGAGAAATGTCACTTTTGATCAATTGATTGCGTAATTGCAGAGTGTTAGTATTATTTTAGTTGTAATAAAAGTATTAATTTCTTTTTAAAAAAAATCTTACTGACCCCAAACGTTTAAACTGTAGTGTATATCATAATGAAACTACATATAAAGTTTTTTTTATTTTATAAAAATACACTGTATAAAAATGTCTTCATAATCAAACCATGAAACTTATAAATACAATCAGGAACTGCATAGATCTATAGCAATATGTAACAAAATAGGAAAATTAATACTAGCCCAATAATCAAGAAACCTATGAATTTTGTGAATTTGTTTTCTCCTCCCTTTAATAAGTGTATTATAACTAAACTATGGATGATTTTGCAGTTAGTTTTATCGTATTATTTAAGTCATTCATTGTTTTCTCCTGCTGTATCAGAACAAAACAGTGACTCATTTTGGATAATGGCCCCACCAGTCAAGAACTGCTCATTTGTTTAATCTAGGTCTATGTGTGTCAGAGAAATACTGACATTTAGTTTATGTGTTTATGCTTGATTAGTTTATGAGTTCATTAATGTAACATCATAGGCTCCATGGCCACATATTTAACTTTTTGGCCATAACCGGAGCTTCATCGGGATCATTGATTTCCGTTCTTGCGATATTAAGCGCAATCAAGATGAAAAACGGCACCAATATTGATTGTGCTCCTAGAGTAATTATGAGTAATCCAACACAGTAGATCTCACATTTCAAAATACCGCCAACATCAGTTGGCCGGCTTCAAAAATAGAGCAACAATACAACCCTTGATTACAACATGTGAAATCTGGCTTTGTGTTATTTTTTCTGTCTATTATTTTTATTACAGATGCCGCTCTCAATTTCCCGTTCAATTAATTAATGGACTCCAGAGCCAGAGTTAGTGTGGAGATTTTGTGCTCTGCCCGAACCCAATGAGAGCAGACTGATCTGATGTCTTTATCAACTGTGCCAATTACATCTAATCAATAGAGTTGATTATAGACCTTGCCTGGTCTAGACAACACCTTCAGTCAGAGAGACCTGGACAATCTCAGCTGAGGAGAGGCTCTGGCTTTGACGATTTCTTCCAAAGGCAGCCAAGACCCTTCCGAATGAAACATGTGGACTCTCGTATCAAAGAAAACCCACACCTGCACGTTTTACCGTCCATCAGAGAGGAAGAGTGGAGAGAGAGAGAGAGAGAAAAAAAACGTTCCGCTCTGAATTATTGTCCAACGGATGTAATTTCCTCTCTGGTTCGCAGTAAGTGTGTGCGAGTAGTTGTGCTCCAGATGTTTTCTGCCTTCAACCTATTCAGACAATCCTGATGATCTTGTATTTTTTCCTCTTTTAAATATGACCTACTCCATCAGTAGTCAGGTATATATATTTTGATGTTTTCCCTCATACTTTACCCATCATAGTGTTTTCTGAGATCGTAAAGGGTTAGTTCACACAAAAAGTTTAATTATCCCATAATTTACTCACCCTCAAGCCATCATACAGTATACTATATTCTTCCAGCCAAACACAATCAGAGTTATTTTAAATGATATCCTGGCTCTTCCCAGCTTTATAATGGCATTGAATAGAGTTTTTGAAGCTCCAAAAAGTGCATCCCACCATCATAAAAGTAATCCCTACGGCTCCTATGGGTTAATAAAGGCCTTCTGAAGCAAAGCCATGCGTATTTGTAAGAAAAATATCCATATTTATAACTTTATAAACCATAATCACTGGGATTCCGGTAACGGCCGTATGCGAGTCTAGTTCAGACAGAAGAGTGACCTCTGACCCGACGCATGACGTATTGATGAACGCGGAAGTGCAGAGGACAAAACAAAACGCCGGTCATGAATTAGAAGTCTAAAACAAGAAGTTTTAAAGGGAAATGTTAGAGGATTTCGATAAAAGAGAAGAATAGCTGCGTCATATGTTGGGTCAAAGGTCACCCTTCCTTAGAAAAAATGTTCTTACAAAAACCCATGGCTTCGCTTCAGAATGCATTTATTAACCCCACTGGAGTCGTTTGGATTACTTTTATGATGGATGGATGTGTTTTTGGAGCTTCAAAAACTTGAACTATATTCAATGCCGATATACAAACCTGGGAAGAGCCAGGATATTCCACCAATCCATGTTTTCACTGTTATACGGTAGGGGGCGCTATTACGCATCTTCTGAAAGAGTCTCCTGATCAAAACACATGCGAAGAAACAGAAACAAGCAATAGAAGCATTGCCTACGCACATGTAAAATAACACGATCATCAACATTAAACAGCATATAAATCAAAACTGCGTAATGTTACTGAATGAAATGTCGACCCAGGACGAGCTACAGGACTGTGAAGCTTTGGGGGTGTTGATGGACTCGATCTACTCCATCTGTGTTTTGACCATTGTTCTGAATCCCATTCAGACAAAGTCTTTGACAAAAACATGAATTCCTCAGCTTGTTGTTCAAAATGTCGATTCCTTTTTTTTTTTTTTATTAAACTTACCCACATTCAAGTGGGGGAAGAGTCAAACATGTGAAATGACCTTATAGCAGGACTATTACTCCTAGTCTGCTGCCTTCAACATCCTAGTTTAGCTTGTCACTGGGAATGTAGCCATTGCACCTTTTCTACCCCTAAAGGGTGCACATTAATACCTTAATTCCATATCTGATGATCTAGAACATTCTCATGAGCTTTAGACGTAACTGAAGACATATTTAGCAACTAAAAAGCTGATTTCTCAGTGGAAGAAAATTAGAGTTGAAATCAATGAATTCATTGACTTATTTTAACTGCTCTGTCAGATGCTCTTCTTTCAAACAACCGCACACACAAGATTGAGCCATAGACAGGCAGCATTTTTTTTAAACACAGTCTGGTAGATCTTAATGGTGTTACTCAACCCACAGGTGCAATAAATTATTCAAGCCGAGGGTTGAGCCACTCCAGAAGTGTAACAGTGCTGGTGTAGCGCTAAGAAGAGTCAGGAATCGGCTGGAGTGGTTTTCCTGCGAAGACCTTGAACATCTGAGCTTGAACTGAGGTTTTCATTTAGGCAATGTCGAGTCGACATTGATGCAACCAAACTGCAACATTACTTCATTTGTTGTCCCTGGAGGTCTGGTACAGCCAAACAGGGCAGCTTCTCATAACCGTAGACCACCAGGCTTGAGAAGATAAACTGAAAAAGTCTGAAAATATTCATCACAGAGACTTTGATACTTTGCTGTTTATTTGTTTTGTCAGTGTGTCAACCATGACAAGGTGAAAAGCTAATTTGCTGTAGATGGGGCCTGGAAAACTTCACTCACAGAAATGAGTTGACCTGACCACCACTGTTTTCCACTGACATGGTGGCATGGAATGCAGTCAACACAAACCTGTTAAACTGGAGGGAATATTTGGGTTTTGAACTGTTCCCAATATCGCACACATGATCTGGTATTTATGACTTAATGAGCGTTTGCCATCAAGGTGTTGACGGCTAGCCTACAGCAGCTACAGAGAACTAACCAGAATATTAAATCCATATCAGAAAAAAAGGATTTATAGCTGTGTAAAACAGGCTGCAAACCACAGCATAACCTGTGTGCTAAAATCAATATCAGTAAGTCACAACTGAGGAGAATGGGATATAACGACTTTTTGTAAGACAAGTTGATCAAGGATTTATGAAAGCTTGTTTCCGCCACAGAATGAAAAATAAAAAGTGAATTAAGACTTTTTTTTCTCACAATTGCAAGTTTACATCTCACATGTACATTAAGTCTGATATAAAGTCGCATTAAGAGTTATAAAGTCAGAATTGCGTTATAGAAAGTCGAGAAATAAACTCAAAATTCAGAATTGCATGTTTATATCAAGTCAAGTCAAGTCAAGTCAAGTCAAGTCATCTTCATTTATATAGCGCTTTTAACAATGAATTGTTTCAAAGCAGCTTTACAGAGATAAACATATAATTTAAGTTAACAGATTGTTTTGGCGTTATAGCGTTTCTTGAATAATGTTACTTCCAGCTAAAGTTAACTTTGATTGATTCACCTCCGTCGAAATGATGAGACTTTAAACGCGAACCTGTGATTAACGCTGACGGCGTTCACATGCTCATTCAGAATTCTATAGTTATGTGCTTTTTAAAATATGTGCGCAGGTTTGTAATTAATATCTCACAATTCTGACTTTATAGCATGCAATTGGGAGATATAAAGTCAGAATACCATGATGTAAACTCGCAATTGCGTGTTATAAAGTCAGAATTGCGTGATATCAAGTCACAATTGTAAGAAAACAAAAAGTCAAACAATTTTAACACGCAATTGCGACTTTATACACGCCATTATGAGATTAAAAGTCGCAATTGTCTTTTAAAATGTTTATTCTGTTGCGGAAACAAGCTTCCATAAGGATTTATCAACTGCTCCTTCGTTTTAGTGGTTTGGTCCAGGGTTTGTAGCAATAATGTATTAGCTAATAAGCAAGCTTAGTTGCATCACAGACTATATCGCCATCTGCAGGTGGCCTGTCTTCTAAACAGATTTGACTGGAGTGACCCAATTCCAATTTTTTCCTCCCATGTGGAAGAGATCAGATATGACACGATCGTGTAAGCGGTAAAACAGCACATGGATTCAGGTATTCTCAGATCGGTTTCAGGCCTCGTTCATGTGTGGAAATAAATCTGATATGAATCGGATACATGCATTTGTGTCTGCCATGTAAGCGGACAGATCGGATTTTCCCGTCAATGCGAGTCGTACGTCATTGAAAAAGCG